AGCGGCGGCGGCTGCGTTCACCGGGTGGCGGAGACAGCGGCGCGGGCCCGGGCACGGGCTCGGGCTCCGGCATGGTGCAATCCGGCCTCGTCCCGGGAGAGCAGGACCCGCGCGCAGAGCCGGCGCCCGGGGAGCAGCGGTGGTGGCGGTGGTTGCAGGCGCAAGCAGGCAGCAGGTGCTAGAAGCCGGGCTGGGCGAGGTGTGTACCCGCCGGGCTCCCGGGCCGCCGCCCCCTCGCCGCCTGGGTCTTTTCCTGTCCTCGTGCTCCCCAGAGCGTCCAGCCCCCTACCTCCGCGCCCCGGCCCATGGCGACCCGCGTCTGAACCGCGCCATCAGGGACCCCTCCCGCGGGCCTCCCGGGGCGCGCAGCTCCCGGAGCCGCCCGCCCAGCCTCCGCGGAGCCTCCCTCCCGTCCTCGCCCGAGCCGGGCGGGACCATGGCCGCGAAGCTACGAGCGCATCAGGTGGACGTGGACCCAGACTTCGCGCCGCAGAGCCGGCCACGCTCCTGTACCTGGCCACTGCCGCAGCCCGACTTGGCCGGCGACGAGGACGGAGCGCTGGGCGCAGGGGTGGCGGAGGGCGCTGAGGACTGCGGGCCGGAGCGCCGGGTTACGGCCCCGGCGATGGCCCCCGCGCCGCCGTTGGGCGCGGAGGTCGGACCGCTGCGGAAAGCCAAGAGCTCCCGGCGGAACGCTTGGGGGAACCTGTCTTACGCCGACCTCATCACCAAAGCCATCGAGAGCGCCCCGGACAAGCGGCTCACGCTCTCGCAGATCTACGACTGGATGGTCCGCTACGTGCCCTACTTCAAGGATAAAGGCGACAGCAATAGCTCGGCCGGCTGGAAGGTGGGGGCATCCGGCTGGGGACAGGGGCTAGGATGCCTACTGAGGCTTCCTGGGCGGGCAGTCGGGAGCGGCTCTGGGGCACTCCAGGGGTCACGGAGTGTGCGCCCAGGGCGTGGGGCTGATAGGTGGACAGGTGGGGGCGTGCTGGGAGCATCTGTGTGCGTGAACCCTGGCCAGGAGGCATGCGGGGTGGGAGGTCTGGTAGGGTGACAAGGGACTGCCGCTTTGAGGCGTCCCCAGCAACATCTCCACCCCATCCTTGGGGGCATCTCAAGGAGCCCATTCCCAGGTCACGAACACTGGGGAGCCCGCTGCTCCCCCGAGTTTGCTTTTGATTACACTTGTTTCACCTTCTCCACCAAGGCATCCTTTAAAGAGCTGGACTAAAGACTTGAGGCCAGTGGCTGCTTTCCCTCCCAAATCTCCACTGCCTTTCCTCCAGCTGGCCCCAGGGGAAGGAGTGCCAACCACAGGCCCACAGTTCTTTCTGTGAGGCCAGGAGTTCACCCTGGAGCATCAACCAGCCTAGGGTGGGGAGCTTGGCAGGTGACCTGACCCGTGAGTTCATGGGGCAAATGGTATTAGCCCCTTACCTGGCTCAGCATGGGGTGGGAGGTTAACCCCTGCTGGTGCCAGGGTATGGTGTTGAGGGCTAGGAAATCTGTCCCTACTCATCCCAGGGAGCTTCTTTTTCACCTCCTTGGCTTTCTGGGCCCAGATGCATTTAGGGGTTGGAGGAGGGGTGGGGTACCCATTGGAGGCCTCAGTGCCAGGCAGTGGGAAGGGGGGAGCCATCTTGGGAAAGAACAGGGGCTTGATTGGATTGTGGCCTCCAGACCTTGTTCATCCTCAGGCCACCTTATTGGAGAATAGGGGCAGTCTGTGCCCTTGGGAGTGGGGAGTGGAAGGGGCTTGTGCCTAGGAGGTGAGCTGTCAGGTTCCCTGTGGAAGGAGGGCCCTTGTGAGGGAGGCATACCTGTATCTAGGAAGGGGGCTGCACCCTGTGGTGGCTGCACCCTGTGGTGGCTGCTAGCAGGGTCCCAGGAAGGGACCATGGTGGAGAGGAGGCTGTGGACATGGATTGCTCCAGATGCCCATGGCAACACTGTAGGGATCAGAGTGTCCTGACCTGGGAGCCCCTGGCTCTGAGGCTTTGTGTTGGCAGCTTCTCTCTCTTGCAGGCCACTATGGGACAGGGATACAGGCCAGAGTTGTAGACATGGATCTCCTTCCCCACTCCCTTAGGCCCAACCCCCACACTGTGTCCAGCCCTTAGTCTTTACTCCCACCTCCCTCACTACTCCTAGTGTCCTGGTCCACCTTCTGTTCCTCCCTAGAGTTGTATTCCCTGTCCTTAGGGGCACAGAGTTCAGATGCCTCCTCCAGGAAGCCCTCTCCAACGCTTTTTAGCCACCTTAGGACTCCCCCTTCTCCGGCCCTATCCAAGCCTGCAGTGGGTGTTGGTCACTTGTGTCCTGTCTCATTTCCCCTTCCTACCTCACCTTTGGAAGACAGTGGCAGTATCAGAGCCATTCTGTGCTCACAACCCCTGACATAGAGCCTGGCAGCAAGAAGCATGTGTAGTGAAAGAGAGGAGTTGAGTTGATGCTGCAGAGGATTCGGAGTCAGGAGAGTACAGTGGGCCAGAAGGCCAGGAGGGCTTCCTGCAGGTGGTGGAGGTCCAGCTGGGCTTGATGGATGAGAGAGGGTGGGGAAGATAGGGAGAGGGGACTTGAGGCTGGAAGCCAGGAGACAGCTGCGGTTCGTTGAGCATGTCAGGGCCAAGCTTTCTGCCAGGTACCCCTGCATCTTTAATGCTCTCTCAGCAGTCCTTGAGCTGGGTTTTACTACACCCATTCACAGAGGAAGGCACTGAGGCCCGAAGTAGAGGGGTGAGCTATCTATGGTCCTACACTTAGAAGATGAGAAAGCTGGATTCCAACCCGGACGTGTCTCCTTCCAGGGACCCACAGAGCCTTTGGAACAGGGCCTTGCTGACAGCTGGGGCGGGAGGGGAACACGAAAGGTTTCTGAGCAGGTATAAATCCTACAATCGGGGGGGAGTGTGCTTGAAGATAATTCGGTGCTATAAATTCATTGCTCAGACTGTGAGACTGAGGCCTTGGAAGGTGATGAGTCTCCTGGGGCATCAGTGAACAGCAGGCGCTGGGCAAGGGCCCAGGGCTCCTAACTGCCTGCTGGATGCAGTTTCCACTGCACCACACTGATGGGGACACACTGATTCTCCCTTATGCTTGGCTCCCTGTCCTGGGCTGGGGCAGTAAAGAAGCCTCAGGCTTGAGCTCTTACCCTAGGACCTCACCAGGATTACCTAGGCACTGGAGGGGATCTTCCCACATTGACCCTTCATGGGCTATTCTCTTTTAGTCCACCCCCAACTCTCTAGGTGGGGTGAGGAGACTTCCTTTTCTCTCCTTCTGGAGCTATTTGCCCCTGCACCACTTACCCCATTCCCCGTCAGTTCCTCCAGAGGCCTGAGGGAGGAGCCATCCCTAACTCTTAACCATCTCTGGTTAACAGAGGCTGCAGTACACCTCAGGTGCCAGGTGGGGCCAGGGCCCATTATTCCTTCCTTCCTCTCATCCCAACAAAAGTGTTGCAGTTGAATTCCTGAGGTGTTTCACGCCCTGTATTCCATAGATGGGGGCACAGAAGGCCTTGGCCCTGCTTTCAGGGTGTACCAGGATCCTGCCAGTTCCCTCCCCCAGCCCTCTGCTTTGCAGACAAGAAAGGCTGGGAGTGGGCAGGAGTAGGAGAAGGTGGTACCCTGGGGAAGCCAGGCAGGTCCTCACAGAGGAGGTGGCACTTGATCTGGGCTGCATTCACAGAAGAGGAGAGAATTTGGGAGATAGTCTTCCAGGAGGTGTTGACTGCATACCCAAAGCAAGGAGGTAGGATTGCGATGTTGTATTTTTGGCACCCTTTGGCTGTGCCAGGCCGGAACCCAAGGCTTCCAGGCATGGCCAGGGTGGCTTGGGAAAGTGGAATGGGCCGACACTGAGCCTTCGCCCGGTGGTCCCATACGTGAGGTGGAGAGGTAGTTCAGTGGTACTGATGATAACAACGGAAGGAGGCAAGACCAGCAGCAGGCTCAGGACACCCAGAAAAAGGCTGGGCTTGGTGCTCAGAGCCACACCAGATGCGCTGGTCTTGTTTCCCTTGGGACAGTGAGTCTCAGGCTTGGCCCCGGAGGTCCTGCCTCGCTAAGTTGTCCAAAGAATGTGGCTATCTGAGTAGGGCCTCCCACTCACTCTCAGATGCTCCAGCCCCGACTCTTCCGGGAAGCCTTCCTGGCTTCTCTGAGCCATGGTGTGCCTTCCTCTGGAGTTGCTCGGCCTCCTTTTGTGTTTCCTGGCTGCCGGCTCCTTTGGGAGCTCCCAGGCAAGGCCTGGGCACCTCCCATTCCTGTCCTCAGGCCTGGTGGGGAGGAACACAGTGGATGGGGACTTACCTGCTCCCGCTGGGGCTGGAACAGCCTGGTTGCTGAGGGCTGGGATCAGAAAGGCTGGTGCTTCCCCCATCTGGCCCAGCCCTTGGCCTGTAAGTTCCAGGTGGGGTGGGGGTGGAAGGGAAGGACTGATCGGAGAGGCCCAGAGCAGGGTAGTAGAGAGAGCGGCTGTGAGTGCAGGGCCCCCTTTCCTCTCCACCCTAGGCCTGCCCCCGAGGGCTCCCTCCCCCTCCTTTGTCCTCTGGGGATCCCCAGCCCCAGGGCTGGCGGGGGTGCTGGAGGAGGCGGTGTGAGCCCGGATTGGGGGGGTGTCCTCACCCCCCTCACTGCACGAGCGAGGGGCTGGCAGCTGCCCGCCTCCTGGGCACGAGCCCGTGCCAGCCGCTCCTGGCACAGTTGCTGGCACGCCCGGCAGACTCCCACGGCCACCTGCTCACACCCACCCACGAGCGCTGGCGCGCTGCGGGCCCTTCCGGCTTCCCGGGCCTCCTGGCGCCCCTCCCCCGCCGTCTTGCCCGAGCCCCCACCTCAGCCTTCAGCTCTTCCACTTGGACCCCAACTCTGCTTACCCCAGGGCCCCACCCTGTGCAACTTGGGGAGAGCACAGGCAAGCCGGGCCTTGGGGGCCTCAGGGCAGCCGCGCCTAGGGGGGAGGGGGACCGCAAGACAAGCAGACAGACCGACAGACAGGGTGAGGGCCCCGCCTGCCACCTGGCGCCGCTCCAGCGGGACGATGGCGGGCAGCGCCGTGCCAGGCGGTAATTGCAGACAGACTAATTTAAAGAGATGAGACGGTTATTTTTAACTCGCGTTAAGGTAATGAACGGCGGGGGGGGGGCGGGCGGGCGGAGTTGCGGGTTCGAAAGTTCAGCCCCCCAACCCCCACTTTCTGTGGGTCGGAGCCCCCTCTCTGCATGCCCTGCGGGCTCCAGCCTCAGGACTGACAGGGGTGAGGTGGGAAGGAGACTGGGAGCAGCAGAGGCCCCTCCAGAGGCGGGAGGGCTGAGAGGGCAGGCAGGGTGGTCCCTTGCCAAGTGCTTGTCTCACCAGGTCCTCACCACCCCCGCAGGAGGGTTAGTGGGTTAGTGCCCCTCTCTCCAGGTGGGGAAGACACTTACTTGCCCTAGGAAGTGGCAGTGCTAGGAATTGAGCCCCGCTCTAGCCCTGAAAGTCCAGTTTTTTCTGTGGCATTGGGAATGACGGGGATAGGTTGGTGCTGGAGGGAAAGGCTTGGGTTTGGACTGTGAAAGGGTTGGGGCTTGTTCCTTGCAGCCTGCTTCCGAGGTCTGAATGGCAACTAGTGATGGGCTCCACCTAGGGTGCTGGGGTTTGTCCATATTTGGGAAGGCTGATGGGATGGTCGTGGGCTCTGTGCATGGCTCTGAGCCTCGTCGGGGTGTTTGGCTGCAGTCAGAGCCCCTCCTCACCTTCCTGCTTCCCTGACCTCCAGGTGACTTGCCAGGCTTCTCCTTACCCGGGCCAGGGGCCTGCCTCCCACTGGAGGCCGTGTATCTGAGAACCTGGGAAAGCG